ACCCCGGGCCGCGGGCTCGGCCCCTGCCCCCAACTAAGGCGCCCGGGCCAGGAATGTTGCATGAATCGTCCTGTTTGCCGTGGCTCGGAGACTTGCCCTGTACATTGCTTAGCGCCCTCCCACGGCCGGTGAGCCCCACCCCAGCACACGGTCAGGAAGTGCGGATGAAAGGGTGGAGCCGGAGGGGTTAGGGAGGAGTCTCCAGCCTGACCAGCTCCCACACAGCTTCCGGAGGCTGCTCCCAGAGGGGGGACCTAGTCCAGCATGCGAGGGGTCAGGACACACCTTGGTGACTCGGGGGGGAGGGGGGAGACATTGGGGTTCTCGGTTGGGGGCCTAGGAGCCCCCCTGTTTTGCATATTTTAATCCACTCTATATTTGGAACGAGAAAAGGAACAAATATCTCTGTCCTTAATAGCTTTCCTTCCCGCCCCCCAGCCTCCTACTGGTTCCGCTGTGGCTGCCCAGTCTTCCATCTCTGGCCCCTCACTGCCACTACCACCCCACGTGGGCGGAGGATGCTCCAGCTGGTCTGGGGTTGGCCAGGGTCCTAGTAGCCGCCCTGGGGCCCTGCCTCGGCTTTCTCCCCTCGCTGAGCTCTAGTGTGCCCCACGCCCCTTCCGGTGCTGCGTGGAGGAGGGGCAGCGGGCAGCCAGGCCTGCAGGGCACTAGCAGGGCCTGGGGGCCTGGGAGACCCTCGCCAGGGGTGGGGACGGGCCCTGGCACCTGCTCCCAGCCATTCCCCTCACGGGGTTCCTCCCCAGGAGGGGTCTAGCCTCCTCCCCACATTGTTGGGCAACTACAGCAAAGAAGCCTCTGCCTCAGACCCCAAAGTCTCCTGTCCCGCCTGTGTGTGCAAGCGTGTGACTGTGTGAAACTCTGGGTGCGACTGAGTGCTCGGAGCCCCGTGTGTGCCTGAGGAGGGAGCGGGCCTCGGGGGGCCCTGAACCAGTGCAAGGGTTTCGGGAGCATGTGCAGGGTGCATGCCTGAACGCACCCCATCCGCTTCCAAAGAAAGTCAGAGGCCCCTCTGTCCCCCGGGACTTGCGTTTGTCCCGCCTGCCCCTCCAGAGTCCTGCCTGGCCCGAGCAGGCTACCGGCCAGCTCTGCTGCTGGGGGTGTCCCCCCAGGGCCCTTGGAGGCAGTGCCTGCCCCCTCACCAGGCTTCTGGGGGATCCTAGGGAGAACCCTAGAGTCAGGCCATCCTAAACCCTGGGGAGAAGCAGAGACCCCCGAGGGCATCCCAGCCCCCCTTACTGTGACTCCCCACACTCAGCAATGACCTGTGGGGTGGGGGGGCCCTGGGACGTTTTTAAACCTAGGGTTTGGCGTCTGGACTAAGCTCCATCCACGTCACTCACAAGTTTCTGTTTATATTTCTAGCTTTTTTTAATAAAAATAAAAAAACCAGAAAACAGACGTTTTCACAGCCCAGGGGCCTGGCACGCCGGTCTGTGCCCGCCCACCCCATCCCAGCCCAGCGGCCTCATTCCCTGGGCAGAGTCACACCCAGCCACCCTTCACTAACAGACCAGATCACACAGCAGCCGTGACTGTAACAGGCTGCCACATACACACTCGGTCTCACACTCACCTGTGGGTTTTTGGTTCCGTTCAATTTGGGTTTTTAACTTTACAGGGTCAGTACCGCTTCACCCTCCTTTTGTATGGAGTTCCATCCAGGGGCTTTCCCCCTGCTCCAGTCCTGAGGCCTCCTGACCCTGATGTTGTGATACACCCCACAGAGATCTATGTTTCTTATATTATTATTATTATTATTGATAATAATTATTATAATATTATGTAATAAATTTATAAGAAATGAAACTGTTTCTCTGTTTCCTGCTTGAGGAG